AGAAGATGATGGACAATGATTCCGAAGGTAGACGCAAAGAAGAATTACGAGCGGCGAATGGCAAAAATGAGTGGTGGTATGGGTATGTATGGTATGTTTGGTGGTGGAATGCCAATGGCAGCTCCCTCTCCCACCAAAGAAGAAGAAACCATCGGTACCCCATTCAAAAACGTGAGAGCACGGCCTGGTTTAGAAATCAATAACTTCTCCAGTAGCTAGCGCGCCACCTGTACCAATGATTCCTCTGCCTGGTATGTTTAGAGTTCAAAGTCCTGATGAGGCAGGAAAACAAGCAGATGCGGAAGATGAGAAGAGGCCAGTCTCATCTTCGCGTCCTGCTGATGTAGTACCGGATGTTGAGGATGTTGTACCTGAAAAGGAAGATGAATCGGTCCCGCCACCAGGTATATCCCATGGCCTACTTTGTTTATTTCAAGACTAATATTTTATCAGTACCGTCTCACGAGATTGGTGTGCCACCCCCGATTCCAGGTGGACGACCAGCCCCTCCGCCTGTTCCAGCTGATTGTAAGTTATATCTATGAATTTAACAGTCCCCTTTACTTATCATTCACTAGCTCGACCTGTTCCTGCACCTCCTCCAGCCTTATTGTCTCCAGGTGCCGGTTATGAATCTGATGATGAAATGACTGAAAAGATTCCTTTGACCACTACAAGTGCTGAACCACCTCAAGCTCCTCCTCGGCCTTTTGAGGCACCTGGTTCCCCACGATCACCACCTACTAGAAGAGCTTCATACTTTAGTCCTGATCAATCGCCGCGGTCTCCTGAGACTCTGGGTGGTAGGCGTGGCAGTAGGGTCCCACCCATTCCAGCAGGTATTCCTACTCCAGCGTTACATACTCGAGCCCCTCCGCCACCTCCACCTGGGGGTGGATTAAGCCGATCTTCAACTGGTGATCAAGATGTCGTTCCTCACTCAAATCCACCTCCTGTACCTGTGGATGATGAGAAAGAAGATGAATATGAGGGTGATTATGATACCGATATTGCTTCTGCGGTACACCATAAAGAAGCTTTGAAGCATACTAAAGAAGCAAGTGTTGATGATAACGCTCTTCGATCTCCACTTGCTTCTCCAACTTTTGCTCCTCCTCCCCTTCCTCCACCTACGGCTCCGAAAGCCGTACCACCACCATTGCCATCACAGCCACCTCCTCGTCCATCAGCAGACATTCCTAGAGTGGCTCCACCAGCTCCACCACCGCCACCACCTGGGAGGGCACCAGCTCCATGGGAACCTGAGGATAATGAATTTGATCCTTATAATAATTCAGCAGCGGCAAGCGCTCCAGTTCAGGTTGCTCCAGCTACACCAAAAATGGAACCTGTTGAAGATGATTTGTATTCAGCTTCCCCACCAAGATCATTTGCCTCACCTAAACAAGGTCGAGCTCCACCTCCACCTCCAAATAAGCCTGCAATTAGACAATCTTTGGATCTCAATCGTGCTGCTATTACTGGTGCAAGAAGATCTGTGGATTTAAATAGAATGTCTATGGATCCTGGTTTTATGGCCAATGATGTTGATTTGGCGGTTGGTAGCCAATGGTGGACTGTTAAGAAAAGTCTCCCACCTGTTTTTCAAGCTAGGAAGGACATCTTGACAGAATCGGAAGATACGTCATCAATTTCTGATACGAATCAACCTGTTGTCACAAGGGAACTTTTTGTCTTATTTCATGATTACTCTCAAACAATCATCGCAGCTCAATACAATCCAAAGGATCCTTCAGAATGTCAACTTGAACAAAAACATGAAGCACCGCCTGCTCGTTTACGTCAAGATCAATTGGAAGACGCTCATGAACGTTTTGGTAAACGTGTCATTGAAGCAGTAAGTGTTAGACAAAATACTATTGTGGGTGATGGTACTCCTCAAGGATTAATTCTTGAATTGTTAAAACCATTGGCTGGTGTTCTTATGCCAGTAGGAACTCGCGCATATGGTGCCCTTGTCTATAGTAATATGGCAAATGCATCAACTCAACAATTTGATGAAATTCGACCTGGTGATATTGTCACATTGAGAAATACTAGATTTCAAGGAAAACATGGATCCATGCATACGAAGTATGCAGCAGAGGTTGGTAAACCCGATCACATGGGAGTAGTAGCTGAATGGGATGGGACAAAGAAAAAGCTACGCGCTTGGGAACAGGGACGAGAGAGTAAGAAGGTTAAGTTGGAGAGTTTTAAGTTGGATGATTTGAGGAGTGGTGAGGTGAAGATTTGGAGGGTTATGCCTAGAAGTTGGGTTGGTTGGGGTGAGGGAAATTGAGATGTGATGTTGAGGGTGTCGGGTGTGGGGTGTGTGATTGGATTGTGAGGGGAGGAGGAGTGACGGACGAAAACGAGTGTGTTCGTTGTGATATTAGGATGGAATGATGGGATGATGTGGTTTTTTCGCATTGTGAGCATTGTGTTCTACATATCCGACGGGAATGCGAATGGATTGGAATGGCATGCAATGAGATGAAATGCGATGAACTGAACTGAATTGAATTGAATTGATGAAAAGATATCGATTGTAGCGGTTGATTGGAGCGTGTATTGTGTAAACAGTTTATTAGGCAGGCAGGCAAGCAAGCAAGCATAGCATGATTGATTGATTGAATTGATTAATTTATTCGATTAATTTAATTAATTAATTAATCCATGAAAAGATTCCACATTTTCTTCTGATCTTCTTAATTTAAATTTCTACGGAGTGAACTCATAGATATAGCATAACATGGCACATATAACAGGCAGGGCAGGGCAGTCAGATCATATCGTATCGTTACCGTATCGTATCCTGAATGGGAATATAGAGTACATGATGTACGCGTAATGTACATTCTTTTAGAGGAGAACATTATAGAATACTCGAGTAGAATACGAAGGATTTTCCCTGGGTTTTGGATGGGGTTGCTGGGTTTTGGGTGGTTTTTTGGTGGCTGTAGGGGAGATAGTAGGGGAGATAGGGAGGTGATGGCTGTAAATGGATAATGGGGTATACAGTTACAGTACTCCGTATGGATTTTTATAAGATAATGTTACATTGCCCCTGATTATGGTATTATGTATGGTATCTGCGTAGTGTGGAATGTGGAATGGGGAAGGAATAGTGAGTGTAGAATGGTGAGTGTAGTGTGGAATAGTGTAGAAGGCGTAGCGTG